AATTAGATAAATAATGTGGACTAAAGAAATTACTATTACCTACTTAATCATTTCCATAACGAAGCCTTCGCCCTGAAAGACCTCAACTGGGTTAAGATTGAAATAATCAATTACCAAACAACACGCATATAGCCATATCCGCTCTAGTGCCATACAGAAAAGCGATACCTCAGAATAATACCGCTATAGTGTCAGCTGGTGTAATCAGACGGTCACAGTGACCGTTGTACATGAGCGACGATTTCAGCCCTCCTTGATCTCTGAAATCTGCTATAATATTCCATATGTTGACTCTTTCTTAATGTTAGCTGTCGCAGATGTGATATATCATCACTCATATGGTAATGACTTAAATAAAACATCGGCTAAAGCAATAAGAAAAGAGAATTGCTCCGCAATTACAAATACCTTTCAAACAAGTCACCAAGCACGTCTACAGCCTTACTGAGCTCCAGAAATGAAACCGGTCAGGCTCTTTTCAAAAACCTTTCAGCGACCCGAATCCGTTACTCGGTCTTAAAGGAAAGCCTTCAATTTACTTCATCGAGGAATTCACCTTTGTCACTTTGTAAATCGTTTTTTAAACTCTGGTTATTTATCATGCACTTTATAACTAGTCTATACTTATTCGGTTTAACAGTGTTTTGGGGGCAAGGCGAAGATCGACCTTTAAAAAACCTTTTATATATAACTTGCCAATGTTTCGGCCATACAACAGCAGTCTTCAAAATAAAACAAATCTATGCGCTTTCAGAAATATTGGAAACTAAGGTAGCTTCAATCAGAGAATAGAGAAGTTTACTACATTAAGTCATGTCAGAAAAGTTATACAGTTATTTTGCAGCTAAATATATTAGCCGATTTGTGTCATGTTTATTTTATCACTAGCTTATTCCCATCTTTTCCATGATATATCACATGTTTTTCTCAATGAGGTCATGATCGTGTTCAAGTTCAAGGCTTTTAGTTTTTCGAAAGGCTGGTAATGCGGTTTTCTAATGATCACTTAATTGCGATTTCAGTAGTGTAAAATATTCAAATTAAAAACTGCTCACTGTCATCAACCTGGGTGCCTTACCATGTGTGTGCTTTGAAGTTCGCATGGATAGATAATTATTTAGTTATTCATATAAAGCATAAAACGCAGAGTGTGACCTTCGAAGAAAAATATACTTACCATGCTCTCTAAACAGTTTGTAAACATCCACGGCAATATGCAGTTTAAGCTCAAGTTCAAAATTAAGTTTATGCAACTGCAAAGTAGCAATAATAGTACTTACCTAAAAGTAGCTTGCCTTTGAACAGCAACTTCTGTTCTTCTGGCGGGACAAGAAACGCTAGCGCGACCCGTTTTTTCAGGTTGTAAACAAAATTTTCGCTATCAATCTGCAACAAAAACATACTTCACTAAAAGCAAGTCGCAAATGTCCATAACAAAGGTACAAAAAGCTAATTTGCACAAAAAACATAAAACGGTTTATTAATACAAACGCAAAAAATATAGCCAATCAGATGGTTGATCAACCGTGTTTTATGCTGCTTTTCCGTACGATCATCAATGCAGAACAAAATTCTCTACCAACTGAAAAAACAAACAAATCACATTTTTTTACTCGTCCGTCAGAAACCGACAATAGCTTGACGAAACCTACGATACGCACTTATGTTCGCCGGGCCGAGGTTGCTCGCTGAACTGAAAATCGACAGGCTGGGCGGCCCGCTCAGGCCAATCTTCCCGAAACGCAGATAACTTCGATGGAAGGAAACAAGAGACTACACACGTTGTACATATGGTCGTAAAAAATCATTATAAAGGATTCTTAAAATGAAAGCATGGAAATGGAGATTTTCGCTGCATCTTACACATTACACTTTACGAAAGGAAGGGCAGAACAAAGGTGCCAAATTACGGGTGTAAGGGAGATAAACATCCAAATGATTTTCTTATTGTGCTTGTTAAGATCATAACCTTGAGCCATTTGCAAAAGCAGAGCTTTCTGGCTGATGAAGACAGCTTTTCAGCACTTTTACAACAAGGCTTCGATAACTACAGCATAAAAAGAACAATTCTCCTCAGAAGCAGATTTGCCTCCATTTTGTTCTTCCATGCTGTACGCTGATCTCTTCGTCGAAGTTTGTTGCCTTTCAGATTTCAAACGAGAAGCTACTGAGCTGTAAATTATTTAGGCTTAACCAGTTGGTCTAAAGAACCAATTTCCTGTTCTTTATCTTAACATCCACTCAGGCCATCTGTTCTGTCCCCCGGAAAAAAATAGCATCATTCTTTACATGGTTTCACCATTTAACCCTCATTATGCCTCGAAGAATTGCCTCCATGATATGCAACCAGTGACCTGACTAAGGTCAGTGACAGACGAATTTTAAGCAAAGGACTACTCCTTTCTCAGTCTAATAACTGGACAGGTAACCAACAGCAGGAGACGAGAGTGACCTTCCCATTTAATTCTGATTATATGGTGTCGTCGCTAGAGACGATGAATACGAGATACTTAAATTCGTCAATCTTCATCCATCACTTGCAGATCAGAAATGTCGAATGAGTTGCTTATTTTTTGACTTCCGGACGTTAAGACTCCGGCTTCTGCAGCTGTGTTGCATAGGAAGCCATCAGGTGTCAGCGTCCTATTTTCGTACTATTCGCGAGGACAATATCATCTGCATCTACCCAGACATCTTAAACAGTGACTTTACTTTATAATGAGACCTTCGTCCCTTCCATGGTCAGCACTCGATAAACAGAGCGAGGACTATGTTCAACAGCAAATGAGAGCCTATTTTTCTAGCAAACGCCGCAGTTATGAGGTCACCATTTAGGTAGCTATCACTGAACGTTACTGGCACACAGTTTCTGGCTCTATCTCTTTTAAAATAGAAACGATATGTTCTAGTATTGCAAAGAATTTT